GAGTATTACAGCTTATATCTGAACACTGCTATAGGATTTCTGGAATTATTATAACTTTAAACAATAGTGTTAACATTCTGAAGCCCTGAAACTAAGTTCTTTTATGCTCACAGCCTCAGACTCTCAGATCTAGAAAATCTGTGGAAAGAACTGTTACAAAGCTAATGAAGATATTTTCCTCTCTTCTTTATTCCCTCGTACACCTTCCCCTACCAATTCTACATTTCATTTAATAACTGTGCTTTTAATAAAGATACTAAATTAGGGGTGAAGACTTCTTTGACATGCTCTCAAAATATTCAAATTAGCCCCGTCTCAAGAGATAGACAAAAATTGAAACAGGGAAATATAAAAATCTATTCCTTAAGGGTAACTAATCTGTTAACTAAACTCAAAACTTCAATTGATAAAGTCAAACTAGAAATATATTTGGTGGAAATGAATCCTTTGAAGAGACCCTCAAAGGAATTTATTTTCTTACAGAGCAAATCAGATGCATTTTTTCTCTCCCATATTCCTAGTATTACAAAAATACTACAGGGTCTTGAACTCAAAGAAAACAAAACTTAGACACGAGCAACATGATTTTAAATCAAGGAACATAATACCGTAATAGATCAATTTCTTTGGTAATAAGTTGGTTTGGTTATTAAGCTATTGACTCTCAGCTCCAAACTCACCTTTCTATACTTAACATTGTGATGTTAGGGCTGGTACTCTGTGAATCACATTTCTGCTTTGCCAGCTGTTGATGTTAGCTGTCATAGAGTGGGCTCCTGATTCATGGTGACCCCATGAACTACGGGAAAGAAAATTGTGATCCATATGGTTTTATTGGTTGCTTTTTGGAAATAGATTGCCAGATCTTTCTTCCTAGTCTTAGTCTGGAAGATCCACTGACACCTGTTCAGTCTCAGAGCAACTCACAACCTCCATTGAGAGGTGAGTGGTGGCAGCCACTTGAGGTACACTGGTCAGAAACTGAACCCAGGTCTCCCACATGGAAGGCGAGATGGGGGATACTAAGAAGGGACTTGGTCTTTCCTTTGGCTTCCTATTTGCTTCCTGTTTGCTTCCTGGGGTGATGTTTCCTCCCCAGAAACACTGCTTCACCCAAGGAACAGCGGGTCCTGTCCGTAGCTGCAGATGAATCTCTTCCCCAATGAACACTAGCACTAGCTGAGCAGCAACTTCTGCTCAGAGGTCTGAGTTTCAGCTCTGTGGGTCTTTTCTCTAAATGTCTAAGTTTTAATAATTTCAACCTCTTTCCATTGTTTATTCAGTCCTTGGGGTGGTAGTTGCTTTCCCTATTTGTTACCATGATACGTTAGTGTTCTCTTTTTGCCTTTTCAATACCCTACTTAACAATCAATTGTTGTTGTTGTTGTTAGGTGCTGTCGAGTTGGTTCTGACTCATAGTGACCCTATGCACACCCGACCAAAACACTGCTGGATCCTGTGCCATCCTTACACAATTGTTGTTATACTTGAGCCCATTGTTGCAGCCACTGATAATGTGTCAAAAGTACTTGAGACAAAATCTCACCATCCTTTCTGCTAAGGAGCATTCTGGCTGTACTTTTTCCAAGACAGATTTGTTCCTTCTTCTGGCAGTCCCTGGTATAGTCAATATTCTTCGACAACACCATAATTCAGAGGCATCAATTCTCCTTCGGTCTTCCTCATTCATTGTCCAGCTTCCACATGCATCTGAGGCAGAAAATACCACGACTTGGGTCAGGCACACCTTAGTTCTCAAGGTGACATCTTTGCTTTTGAACATTTTAAAGAGGTCTTTTGCAGCAGATTTGCCCAGTGCAATACATCATCTGATTTCTTGACCGTTGCTTCCATGGGCATTGATCATGGATTCAAGTAAAATGAAATTCTTGACAACTTCAGTCTTTTCTGCATTTATCCTGATGTTGCTTATTAGTACAGTTGTGAGGATTTTTACTTTCTTTATGTTGAGGAGTAATCCATACTGAAGGCTATAGTCTTTCATCTTCATCGGCAAGTGCTTCAAGTCCTCTTTGCTTTCAACGAAGTTGTGTTATATGCATATTGAAGGTTGTTAATGAGTCTTCCTCTAATCCCAATGCCCCCTTCTTCCTCATACAGTCTAGCTTTTCGTATTATTTGCTCAGCATACAGATTGAATAAGTATGGTAAAAGAATACCACCCTGACACATACTTTTCCTGAATTTAAACCATGCAGTATTCCCTTCTTCTGTTTGACCAACTGCCTCTTGATCTATGTACAAGTTCCTCACGAGCACAATTAAGTGTTCTGGAATT